TTAGCTGTCGATTAAATTTCGAGAATCAAGAGAAATTAATGATACTTTTAGCAACTATCTGTAATGGATGTAATGTCTTTGAGAAATATATATGATATTTAAAAGTTACTAACCTGACACATCATATTTTTTTATTACTTTTGTATACATTTGATCACGTGTTTACCTCTAAATCCGTTGGCACTCTTACACCCAATCTTTGGACCAGATTCTGCCATAATTTACTCTTTGATACCGGCACCGAAGCGTCTTGTTTACTCTGGTGTTTATTCATTTTAAGTAGTCTCCAGTGACAGGTGACATAAACGAATTGTGCTCTAGAGGAGAGACCATTGCAAACGGCGGCACGGAACAAAGGACGCTCATCAAAAGAATTTCAGCCGCGTTACTGAAAGGAGGAAATTATTGCAATCTCCGTTCTTAGTTTCGCGAGCAATTTCGGCAAATAATTACGTGCGCTACGCCCGCGCCGCCATAAATCCTGCCGCAGAAACGTCCGCGCGTAATCTACGACGTTCAAATAGGACTGTGACAGAATTTCTAAGCGTTCTCTGTTGGATGATCCTTAAATTTTTTTTATGTTTGATCCGAGAAGATGGAACAACCGGTCCTAAATAATTAAGTTTAAAGCAGTCTCTAGTTAATTACGATAATTCCCAAATAAATTCGATTCGTATATAGAAGTTATAACAATAAAAACTATTAACTTTTGTTATATTTTTATTAAAAAATTATTTTACTTGAGATTTTTTATTCCATTTGATTCTATTTGTGTTTATTATTTACTTAACGCAACAACAATGATAATAGTGCTGAGTTCTGTGCCGGGCAGCGTCGTTCCCTGGTGTAACATGCATTCTTGCGAGTCTCACTCTTCGACACTGTCCGGACGGGAGCATTAAGTATCGGATTGAGATCGATATCGAGCGGGTTCGGCATCGTTGGGCATCGACACGGTTTGTCAATTGCAGATGATCCCACACCACAAACGAACCGCGTTTATCCGACGCTTGTGCCATTGCAAACACCGCGATCGATATAAGAGGAGTTACGCCCTCGAGCTTTGCTAAGCTTTGAACGGTAGAACGTTAAGTACTTCCTTTGACAAACTAAAGGAAATTTACCTACCTACCTACCCTCTCGGCTCAACTATGCTGAAAACACCTCGCTGGGGATTTATTTAGTAATCGCTGCAATATTCATATACTTTAACGAATCATGAACACAAGGTAAACGCAAAACGCGTTTCTTCCCGAGCGACTGAGCGACTGAGCTACTTTCGCGATCGATGGTTCGATTCGACAGAAATCACGATACTGTGTGACGCGTCGCGTCGCACACGTGATAAAAAGCATCTCGTCGAGAGTTTCGTTGTTGGGAACGCGCCGACCACTAATGAAATCATTAATGCCATCGTGATTATAATTTGCATTACAATGACGTCATTATTACCGTAGGTTATCATAAACCAAAGCTATTACAAAGCGGTGTCGACGGTGATATCGTCATTACTACTTCACGGTGCTTTATTTTAGCGCCGTATAATGATTTTAGTTAACTGCAATTTTCTTTCAACTTTTTCCGGGACCACTCACGCTGCTTGCGTGCATACAGAAATGCGAAATAAAGGCGAATGAGCCGTTTCGCTTCCGTTCAACGAAAAAGTTTGGAATTTTACTCTTTCCGGTTTTGTTCTTTTTTTTCGTTTTTTGACTGGATTCGGTAAAAGCAGAAGAGGATTGGATAAACAATCGACAGAATTTCCTGGACGATCAGTAGTTACGCGGCTAACTTTCACGAACGTGTCACAGAAACTCGTTGGTTAACTCGATAAAACTCTGGTCTCTTGCCGTACAAGCATCTAATGCAGCGGCAACTGCCCGATTTAGTTTCTTAGCGAAATTCTTATAGACGGTCGACCCCAAAACTTTCTTCGCTTGCTTTCCCGCGTATTTGACATCTGCAGATAATGCTAAAAATCAGTGCGCGTTGCGCACAAAGATACGACAGTATTTACTTCCCTCGAGATGTTAAATCGATCGTTAAGCGATCCGCAAACTAAACCGAAGCAAATGTTTTAGAAGAAATGAAATTGTCTAATACGATTTGGAAGATTTTGCTATTTGTGTGACGTTTTCAACCAGACACTCGCCAGCTACTCGGCGGCCGGATTTGAAATCGATATTTTCTCAGCGAGAAGATTGAATCCGACGTAATCCTCCTCGCGCAGCTGTTCAGTTCGAAGCGTTAAGTATTTTTGTGACTAAGCTTTGCTCACAATGCTAATCTTTCTCGCGCAGATCTCCGAGGCGATCCATTGTGCTATTTTTGGCAACGATTCGGAAACTATTATGTGCGGAGCCTAGATTCTGTGAATCGGACGGAGAAAAGAACAACCATGAATTTTCTTTTCCGTTTCTTTATAAACGTGTCTTGCATCCCATCCCACCCTATTCTATTCTTTTATATTGTATACAATCTCGCGGACACGCCACATACGTCCTCTCGCTTATAAGACTTGGACCATGGGCGAAACTCCTCGATAAAGGCTGCATTTGCGTGTATAGTGCATTCCACGAATAATTCAACTTGCTTGGCGTGGTTTATACGGTTCACGTACCACTTTGCAAGCCGAATCGCGACTAGCGCCAAACAACGTTGTTATTGATTAAACTTCGACGCGAATTGCGAAGTAAAAGTACCGAAAGAGTTTCTCTAACCCCTTTAGCTATTTACCTTCTCAATATGCATGTTCCTCAGTCCTTACGTTACGATTGTTCTTGAAGTGTAAAGAGTTAAGAATATAATAAAGTGTCGGAGATGTGGAAACGCGATAGAGCGGTGTCGCAACACCAATTACACGAGGCTCGAGGCGATGCGATGGGTTTTTCGCGGCTTTTGCGGAACCACGCGGTGCGCCAGGATTTTCCACGGAAATATCCGGGAAAATTGCTTTGCGCTCAAAAGCTTCACGCGATTATGGCGTAAACTCGTTCATTAGGGTGATACTCGCGTGGACGATAGCTCAAGCGCGCGTTCAAAAATTTCATCATCCAACCTAACTCGCGCGATCTCACGTAACTCTCTCGCCGAGATGGAACTCTGAGACCATGTTACACCGACACATCGTGACGTTTCCTGGCTGTCGCAGCAAAAGACGAAAATTTGCAAACGAAGTTTACGAAACGCTACACAGTTGCAAGTCTCTCGTTCCAATCCGGATATTTTATTTGAAAATCTTTTTCGAATCTCTCTTTCTAAAACACTTTTTTACGTCTTATTGTGTATAACTTTTACCACAAATTTGTTATACATGGCATATTTTTATATTGCATTCAATTGTTTATAAAAAAAAAATCAATCGTACTACGTATTAAAATATCACGAACATTCCCGATTCGGCGATTAATCGAATGTCAAACCTTTCCATTTTCATTTACATCATCGTAGATAACGATCTGTCATCTTTTAATATCCCAAATATCCGTATCATACAATCGAAAAAACTAAATATGATAATAAATATTTGTTTGAATAGTTTTAAAGAAATATTTACTAAATATAAACATACATTTATTTGATAGAAAAGCCATTAATTTGATTTTACTCAATCATTTTTTATTGAATAAATATTAATTCACTTAGGTAAATATTTACTTAGTATACTACTCGTAGAAATACGTATTAAGATTTGTATTAAATTTGTTTGCGTGTAGCGCGAAGCTTTTTCAATTTGTCTACGACAAAGCTTACGTTTCTTGCTAGATTGTTTCTCCCCGGAAAGATATCGTAAGCACGTGGGGAATAAGAGAGCACGACGCGGACGGTTCGACGGTAGAGCAAGTGGTGGAGATCGACGTTACGTCCGCCATGAATTTGCATCGCATCGAACGGCGACTACGCTTCGCCTAACAGATGCTCCCGCGCGCGATTTGCATAAAATGAGACCGGACAGGATCAAGGCAGAGCTCGGACTAGAAGAGCTCCCTCTCCGGTGGTCGAATCAGATTCCCGGCTCTGAAGAAAGCTCACGGCTCACCGTTCCATTATCGGCGCAGGTAACGGCGATTCTGGGATTCTCCAGTCAGATCAGACAGCGCCGTCGAGTAAAAAAGAAGGGCAATGCGTTAACCCTTTGACCCGGCGCGGCGAATGCGCGTCACGCGCGTGCTTTTACGGATTACGCTTTTCCGATTCCTGCACTTAACGCCAGGATGCCCGTTGGGTTGCACGATTTTATATTGGATCGTTGAGTCTAGCGAGATATCTCGCGACAGTTTACAACTTTAAGCCTGGTGCAATTGTACTTTGCCACGGCGCAGCGCTTCTAGACATAATTACGCAAATTATGTGCATCCGTAATTTTCTCTTTCAATTTTATTAGACTACGACGACGAAGGAATAAATCGATTTCGACGAGCTCGGCTGGAAGTGCGTTAAGAGATAATTTGAGATCAACTTTCTATAATAATTTATTATTGAATTTATGATTAAATTTCTTATTAAATTTATAATATTATACGATTACTGTCCCTCTCTTGACTTGCTCGGCACATTTTACCTTTGCACGAAAGAATTCTCGGTCGCAGTAGATGATCAACAGGAGAGATAATAATATATAATAATTTACATATAAACAGACAAATTGTATAACTCCAAAAGATTTATTACATTACATACACATTACATTCGTACTGACATCTCGACATCGGGGTATTCTATAGCGATCGTTATAAAGTCCAAAGAGTCCGAGCCAATGAAAATCCGTCAAAGAAATGATTCCGAATTAGCATCAATCATGTGAAACGTCCGTAGGAAAGAGATAGAGAGAGAGAGAGAGAGAGAGAGAGAGAGAGAGAGAAAAAGAACAACTCGGCTTTACTGCAATGATACGCTGCGCCGCCGGACACACCGGTGTCATCGATCCCTCTCCATCGTAGCGTGCATTCGTGCGGTCGCCTCAGGGAGTGAATTCGGGAGGAATTCGCAAGAGATTGGTGGCATGTCGCTCACCGGAACATCGTATCGACGAGGAAAATCAGGACGAGTAGAACAAGTCTCCTATTTACATCACCGGTGCCGCCGTGTTGCATCGCAGCTGGATGCTCCCCTGAAAAAGAGAATTACACCGGACGACTAAGGTGTCTCTTTTGTGTCGCTTCCTGGGATCTTTACGCGTTTCAATCTCGTCGATCCTTCTCGGATCCTCGCTAACGAACATTAAATTTATTAACGGCCCGTCGCAAAGTAGTAGCACGGAAAAAACGAAGAGCACTTCACGCGGAAGGATCCTCGAGGATTTAAGAGAATCGTCGCGTCGGCCGTCGTCCCAAAAAAGAGAGAGACAAGAAAAATTATTTACAGGTCAGTCATCTCTCTCGTTATCAAATATGAAAAATATCGTTGGATAATTTGAATCGTCTCGTAATATATGCACTATTTATTGTCGCAACGAACGAGCAAATAAACTATTATTGAATGTCGTATAATTGAAAACGTTTCTCTCTCTATCGCAATATCTAAACAATTGCTGTAGAGATAATTAATATTTTAATATAAACCGCATTATTTGTATCAAATATATTAATATAATGAATAGAGAGAGAAGGAGAAATCTGGGAGATTGCGAGTGCGAATTAAAACAAATGTATGTCCTTATCGCGAAACGCGCTCGGGGAGTAATTTCGCAATGTAGTACATTACGCTTTTCCCTCGCTCGCTCGCTCGATCGCAAAGCGGCGCGGCGGAGAATTTCGAAATGAGCCGTCGCAATCCCCCCGTCGCAACCCCCACCTCCGCTATACCGGTATTTTGCTCACCGTTTAGCACGTGCACCATGATGCTCGCCGGGGTGACTTTGTTCGAAGCGCATGTATAATTACCGCTATCCTCAATTTGAGCACGCGTTATTAGGAGCTTGCTGGTGGTACCACTCTTACCCTTCTCCGTCTCCAGCGATACGCCACCCCTGTCGAACGTAACACACGTAAGAGCGTTACTTCCGAGAATTGACTTGCGAAAGTTTTCATCAAAATCCACATGTGTGTGTGTGTGTGTGTGTGCGCGCGCGCTTGTATGCGTGGTTTATTTCGACGTTTGACGCGGATCGCGTCATCCCGCGTTTCGCCAATCCGACGTCAATCCAATTTTCCGATCGACCGCATTAAAATTCACTCGCTATACCGGCATCAGCGATTCTTGAAGAATAGAGAATCAGAATTGGCGCAAACTGTCGAAAACTAATTGTAAGTAATGTTTACTGGTACGACGCATATTTGCGTGCGAGCAGAAGCGATTTCGAAAGCGACGCGCGACGGGAGAGATTACTCCGATTAGATACGATTGTTCGTTCCACCGCGATATTAGTGGCAGTGTTCGAGCGACGATTCCATCAGCTAATTGTGTATTTCACAAAGGTATAATCACCGAGTGTTTCCGACTGTACCTTGGACCATCGAAATCGATCACCGCGCCGGAATGGTACCAGGTCACATTGCTCGGAGGCAGATCCTGTAGCTCTATAACGCAGGTCAAGCTGATTGTGCTGCCCGTCTTGATGAACAACTCCCGGGAAGGCGTGATGCTCGCCTGTATATCTGATAGAAACAGCAATAACGACGAGAAGAGGAGAAGAATGAAAAATCGAAACAGAGCGCATCGCTCGCGCTCTCGCGCGATTGGCTTTATTACTGCACTCGAGAAACGACGCGCGAGATCGTATTATACTATCCACGTCGAATTCTACCTTGGAAAATGGATTCTCTTTCATTTCGAAAAGCTCAGCGAATCGTCGTCGACGTGGTCGACGTTGTCGGCGATTCGCGAGAGACGTGATGAGGGGGGGTTAAAACAATTGGTTCCTACCGGCTCTGGGCCGGGCCGCGAATGGCGAACGGCGAAAGACGCCCGGGGAGATCTTTAAGCGCGATTTATGGGTCTCGCAAAGACGCGCGCGTAGAGAAACTCACCCAAAACCTTCAGTGTCACGGCACTATATATCTTCGGTTCTGTATTAACCTGACACTCGTAAATGCCGGCGTCCCGCGGTTGCACGTAATCTATTCGCAGATTCCAGTCGTCGGTCTCCGGATTGCCGACTACCGTAAATCTTGCGTCGCTCGTGTAAGTCACCGACATGGACGTCAGGATGTGTAGGTCCCTTTTTCGGATCCAAGATACCTGGTCCAACATACACACGCGCGAGGTGCCACGAATGAGGCGCAGGTAATTGCAGTTTGCCCTCAACCCCTTCGCTGCTTCTACCGCTATTACTGCTGCTGCTGCTGCTGCCGCTGCTACTGCTTCAACCCGTCCGCACGCTCGTTCCTTACCTCACATTATAATGAAGTTTTCCGTCGATCTTGTCGAGACTTTATGGACCCGAGAGAATTTAGAGATACAAAGACGTAATTAACAAGTCCGACGGGAAAATTTCAATTTCTTTCGAAACATTTGGAACACGTCAACATTTAGAAAAATGAAGGGTTCTAGAGTTGGGAAATTGTACAGGACTATGAGGAAGCGAATATATCCTTCCTTTTTAGACTACACAGTGTTGTCGTAAAGGCGATTCATTCTAAAGAAGGCGTCCCAAGTGATAAGAATATCGATTTCGGCTTTTTGGCACCGGTTCGTGAGTAAGAAAATGCTGAGGCTTTCACTTTTTTCAGACGTACCCTCTCCTATTCTTCTCCCGTAAAAAAGTTACGACAAAGAAACCCGTTTTTAAAACTCTATAATCGAATCTAAATGAACACTCTAATGAACACGTTACGCTTGACTTGCCAGCAGCGAAGGGGTTGCGCGAGCACATAAAATTATTGCAAACACGCGAGATCAATGAGATCAAGCAGTGCTCTAATGAGACTCACAGTTCTGTTTCCTAGATTTTTAACACGACATAATAGAACGGCGGCCTGCCCTATGGCCACCGTTAATTTTTGCGGCGTGTCTTTGAAAAAATAGGTCTTCTTTGGGCCGCGCTGCGACTTTTCCCCTTTGCCGAACGTGTCGTCGTTGAGATGAAAGAGTGCTGAAATAGACATAAACTATGTGTTGACATCCTATTATTATCTCCTCCGGTGACGTTCTTTCGTAGGAAAGAATTACAGAGTGCGGTTTACAAAATGAACTCAAAGTCTCCGATAAAAAATATCTGAATGTTTTCAATACGGAATATTGATGCATGAACAGTTTATTTTACATACATTTGCACATTCGTAGATAATCATTTTTTAAAAGTACAATTAATATTAAATAACCACGTTATATTAGATAATTAAATAAAAATCATAGACTTTACGTACATATTTAATTTGGCTTACTTTTTTATTTATTTAATATATTTCAAAATTTTAATATTTTTTTTTAACGGAAAATAACATGCATGAATATATTTTTAATTCGACCAATTCATATTATTCTTGATATATGTATAACAGTATGATAGTAAGAACATCAAGTTTAAGTAACTTTGGAAAGCAAAACAGTAATTTAATAGACTTGAGAAATTAATAATATTACTATTGTTATTTTATGAACTCACAATATATTATACTACTCTTGGAAGGAAACACTAAAACTATGTTAGAAAATTGAAAAAATATATTTAAATAAATAATCTTTGTCATAATTTTCGTTTTTTAATCATGATTTTTCGTTTAAATTTCATTTTCTCTAAAAAAAAATTGTTAATTATATTCTCTACCAGGTACAATTTTTTGTTAAAGATTATAGACCTTTCAATCGCTTTAATTGTTAATTAATTTCTCTTCTAGTTCTAGCTTCAAAAAATACATGTATACCTATTAACTATTGAGAATAAAAGTAAATACTTATAACTCTCTCGAAAGTATAATCTTGAATTAACGTTAATTGTGATTAATTAATTTCCTATTTTCGTCTGTACTACAAAACCCAAAGATGGAAAAATAAAAAAAATGTAAAATACAAAATTAAAAGAAAACATGAAATGTAGAATAAGAATTATAAAATTATACAGAATTAAATATAATCATCAGCGAATTTCAGTTCGTTTATGCAAACTTTCTTTCCGCGACAAAAATTAATTTAAAAAATGAATATAAATAAAAAAGTTCTTTTGTTATACTTTTATTTTAAAAAGGCTGAATAAAAAATTTAACTTTGTGAAATCAAATTTTTATTAAATTTGAATATAGTTGTAAGTTTGATCTCTAATTTTGGCGAACGATGCATCGAAAATTTCGTTCTGAAATGTATTACGAACAGCATATTTCGATTTTATCCTCTTAGCCCAACAGCGGGAAAAATTCAATAATAAAAATGATTTACGCCACTCTCTCTCTCGGTGCACTCTCTTCGCGCGACCGAAATTACTTGGAGTACAACTGAAATTACGTGGCGTAGCACAGAGTTGCGGACACAAAAGGGTATCGGGGGGCCGGAAGAGAGTTCTCTGGAAATGTGTGTGTGTGTGTGGAAGGGGTAAAGGGGTCGGGAAGGAAGCACGGGACATTTACCGATGCCGCGTTCGCTGTGAAGTGGTTCCGCGTGTAACAGGTATCCGATTCCCAGGAGCAGCAAGGCCATGCCGTGGAACGGGGCCATCTTTCACTTCGCGCACATCTCCCGAGATCTAATTCACGCGCCACGCCGTTCCGCGCCCGATAGCGACCTGCCCACTACCGTCCGATCCGAATGATCGCTCTCTATTCGCGGCCCTTCCGGTGAGTGAAACACCCGCGGGATCACACCGATCGTTGGCATAATGCCGTCACTGCCGCTCGTATTGATGTGTCCTCGCTTTTCACATTACCGCGAACCGAGATCGTTTTCACCGTTCTCGCAAGATCGGAAGATCGTCCCCATAATTATAGCCGGTCTCTTATTACGTTTTTTAATTATTGGAAATTATTGTTGTTAAAAATTATATTAAAAACAAAAACGAAGCAGATCGCTTAATTAGATAAGAATCGCTAACGACACGCTCGTCCTTTCGATCTCCGCGCGATTCAACGCGCAACTCGAGCGCGATCGCACGGAGCGTTAAAGCAGTCAGGGGTAGTGCGACACGGTTGCGGGCCGAGCACTGAATTTCGCTCCTCGCGGGGGATGGGAAAAAGCTCGGAAATCCTGACACGGTGGTGGCGCCGTGCCCGTTCCATCAGGGCACGTGCGATTGCGCCGAGAGGTCCCCGGCATCGGATGCGATCTCCCTTAACCGGCGAGACGTATTTATCCCGGTGCGGCGCGGCGACCGCGCGCGCGACTCCCAAAGTCCCGAGTCCCGCGACAACGCGGTCGTACGTTATCACGATTTACCGGAGAGAGAGAGCGATCGACGTACGTACACACATCTCACCCCGAGAAGCGCCGAGCTTCTATCTTACCTACCTTTTCTATCCATTCGCAAAGCGTTCACGGATAAAGCGATTTACGACGTATTCGCTATTTTTCTAAGGCAATCTCCTCTTGCGCATAAATAAGAAAATAAAGGGGAACGAATGCATACACACACACACACAAGAAAGCTCCTTTCTCTTGTATATTAAACAATATATTTCGATACAATCTTTCAACAACGCAACAATATTCTTTAAAAAATATAAATATATGAATCATTTGTAACTTATAATATAAGATAACTCTTAGCAGGAACCGCTTACATATTACCAACCCCTTTGTATTTTCTTCAACGAGCGCTTTTATCCCCGCACGGTAATATTAAATACTTATTAAAAGCCGCAAGTCGGAAGATAGTTCTGCAGGTACAACAATACAAGCACCATCGTGTTTTAATCTCTGTTATTATACTCTGCTCTCCTAATTTCTCTTCTGCGGCTTTCGCGACAATGCGTATGAATTGTTTACATGTTTTTAACATTTCATACATAATATTTGTGTGATAAATTATCCTTTTTATTTAAACAAATATATTTGTTTAAACCTACAAAACGCATCTTCTATTCATATAAATATAATATATTTGATTATTAATATACCTGATTTAATTCTGCTATAATTATCATTTTTCTATTTAAGACTTTTTTCACTTACATTTAAAATCTAATAATCTTTAAATTGTATAAGAAGAACAATTGTAGAAGAAAAGATTATCAACTATCCCGTTGGGACACCAATCAATAAAACGCTAAAATTATCATGGTTTTCATTATTATGCGTAACAAGGTTGCATTCGGTTTGGACACTCACGCGCTTATAATCCATTTTATCTTTATCGTTAATTAAATGTAAAACAAAGATAGAAGCGTTGAAAGCATCCAAACCGAACATAGTCCAAATAATGTTTTACATCTTTATACTAATCATAGATATACAATTATAAAAATATTCGAAAGAAAAATTGACAGTATGCAAGATTTAGTAATTTCATTGACATTATATATACATATAATTATCCCCCTTTACCATATAAAATATATATAAAATTTTAATAATTTTGTGCGTATAATAAATATTGCAAGTAATCTAAACACATTAACGATCTTTCTTTAGACATATTTGAGTCTTTGGAAGATTCCAAGTTGAATGATACTTATAAAATTGTACTCTGTTTTATATTATTTAATTATTCATAGTAGAAAAAAAATTTTCCTATCAATAATAATTCATGCTATCGACAGGACAAAGATACCGGCCTACGTTTTATGTATTGTAAAATCACTTTTTGTACCACCTATTTTCGATACCAATTCTATACCATATATTTCCATCGTGCCAGGACTAGCTGCGTATTTGCACATATCATAGATTGTCAGAGCCGCTATACTCACAGCGGTTAAAGCTTCCATTTCGACCCCGGTTTTGCCAGTACATCTGACCTCCGATGTGATTTCGACTCTGTGCGATTTCTCGTTCAATTTTAAGCATACGTTTACATAAGACAAGGAAAGCGGATGACACAGAGGTATCAGATCAGAAGTACGTTTCGCTGCCATAATACCAGCCAATTGAGCCACTGACAACACATCGCCCTTCTTTACATTGTTTTCCGCAATTAAATTACTAATGACAGGACCAATCCTCACGAATCCCCTTGCTATCGCTACGCGTTTACTATCATTTTTTAATCCGACATCCACCATACTCGCTTTACCGGTCTCGTCTATATGTGATAATGACGAATACATTCTAATACTTGCATTGCTTTTAAGATACTTGGAAATATATGGGAAATATTTGTACTGCATCGATATGGTATTACTCATTTTGCAAGGAAATTTCTCCTTACTATTTGCTGCAACGTAAATATGTTGTAAAATTAATTCTAAAAGACATTGTTAACATAATTAACATTAGCAATTTGCGATAATGTCTGTGCGCATTTCGACAAATCCGAACGTATTTTAATAGTTAATTATAACGATCAATTAACCTCCAATCAGTATCATTGGCCTATTTTCCATTTGAGTAAGATTGAACATCCCTGAAACAGCAGAGATATAAATTCGGTTTGTCGATACTGCTACAGTTTATTTAAAATAAATAGCGAGATAACAGGAAAAAAACTTGAAAGAGAGAAGAAAGCAAAAAACCAACATCTTTAAATAATTAAAAATACTTTTACTAAGATTTTTTAATAAAAGAATTAAAGTTTTATTATTAAATACCGCGCGTTCTTTCCGCTTTTTGATCGATACATATGTACATAGCATACCTGCGTGTTGCTTCTTTTTTTGTGATACTGCTCTTCTTATCAAATCCTTAAGCGCATTTTCCGAAATTCCACTTCGCAAAGCGTCTCGAAGCGAGACTTCGCCTTTTCCTTCAAATAGGCACACTTTCAAATTTCCATCAGCTGTTATTCTTAAACGATTACACGAATCACAGAAGTGTTGACTCATGGATGTAATGAATCCAACTTGCCCTATGAATCCTGGTACATGGTAGGCCTGCCGAGAGAACATTATGTACAATATAATTTCAATTAATTCAATTATCAAGTGTTAGCAACTAGAAAAAACAAACCTTGGACGTATCATTAAGCTGATTTGGCAGAGCTTGAAAATCGGGATATTTCTCTCGGATTATTGCTTTCATCTCGTTGAAAGGAACCATCTTATTTTCTTTCCACTGGTTTCCTTGAAACGGCATATATTCTATGAAACGTACATCGACAGGCCGGTCTCTTGTGAAATCGATGAAATCAATTATTTCATCGTCGTTGCGACCTCGCATCATCACGCAGTTGATCTAACCATTCAAACACATTGATTAAATATTGTATACACCAATTTATGTTTAAAATTTATATAGCTTTTTAATGAAATTACTTTCACAGGATTATAGCCAAGCTGAACAGCAAGATCTATGGAAGCCATAACTTTTGCCCAGCCTCTTCTGCGAGTAAACAATTCAAAGCGCTCCTCTTTCAGAGTATCTACCGATATATTGAGTGCATCCAATCCCGCTTTCTGAAGAGCTGGCAATTGACGCGTTAGAGTTAATCCATTGGTTGTAATCGCAACCTGATCCAGATCTCTCAATTGCTTCAGTTGTCCTAAAACATAAAATTATATATAAATAAATTTTGAAAACTGAATTAGACTCACAATGTTAAATTAATTAAGCACATTTCCATTGAAAAAGTAGACTTTACCGACAATGTCAATGATATCTTTACGAATTGTGGGTTCGCCGCCGGTCAAACGTATTTTGCGCACTCCTTCTTTAACAAAAAGATCAGCTATTTGTATTATTTCATCCGTCCTTAGAATACCTTCCTTCTTGGTTAATTTCACACCTTCCGCAGGCATGCAATATGTACCTATAATGTTTGTTAACATGATATTTTGTGTTAAGTGACATTCATTAAATTCAAGAGAATTCTAGTTTAATATTTTATACAATTTTAAAAAGACTTACAGCGAAGGTTGCAACGCTCCGTGAGGGAAATCCTGAGATACGTGTGTTTGCGCCCGAATGTATCTGTAAGTATTTCATGCTCATTCTCCCGTAATTTTACTCGGAGCTGCTGCAACTGTAATAAACGAGATATTCATTAAATCAATGACGAACATTTTTAGAAATGTTAAATCTTACAAATAGACCGCGCTCTAATTACAGATGCGACGACAACGACACTTACCCGAGATGGCGTCTCCTCGACTGCAGCAGCTTCCGTCGATGCTCTCGCGGCACCACGAAGCTGGTTGACAAGATTACATCTTCGAAACATTTGTACGATCAACAGACTCCAAAGAGAAACGGAGAGAAAAATAGAAACGTTATATCATCCACTCACTGATTGACGGAGGGGGGTTTATAGTGTTGCTTTCACTCTGGCTGGTGGAATTTGTACCTCCAATCTCTCCTTGAAATTATTATGCCTGTCCACACTCCACTAATCGACCTTATATCCTTGATTATGCTTAATGCTTCCTTCTCTACATTTATTTTTCGGCCTTGAAGCGAAAAAAACAATTACATGATATCAGCGTTTACGAATTCGTCGTGTCAGTGCTTGTGTCTTTATCTAGTGCACTGTCATTCATTTTTATCTGAGGGAGCACTACGTCATTTGACACTGACGTAGTTAAATTGAGTGCCTCAAACAACATATGTACTTGGTAATTCTTTGCTCTCCTTTCTCCGCTCTCATCAGCCATTTGTCAATCATCTGTCACGCGGATCACCCAGGATCACCTGACATATCTCATATGGCTCACATATGTGACGCATATGATGCATATGGATACCCGTTCTTTTACAATGTAGATTAACTATCTCAACTTGCTCTCCATCTTTTTCTAATTCTCAGAACTAAAAAGAGATGGAGAATTCGTTGAACCGAGATTAAAATTAAACTACGTTGGTAGAAAGGGGCAATAGTCGCGAAACAGCTGTTCAACCTGTTTGCAACAATACTGCCTCGTTGTGATTGAAGCAAGAAACAGCTGGATCGAACTAAGTACGATTAGTAATAGAAGAGATCGTAATTACCTACTGAAAGAAGAATCGCTCTTATCGATTATCAGTAAAATACTTTTTTCTGATGTTTAATAATCGCGTGATTGTCGATCTTCGAAAATCGTTAGCTGACCGCTGAGAAAGAGGTTAGAAAGAAAAGATTGAAAGAAAAACTTGATATTTTTGTGTCTCTCTCTCTCGTTTCAAAAAATAAGAAGAAAAGTAAAAGAAGAAATGTCTCTTTTTCCTGCTTATTCGAACAATAAAACTGAATGTACAAGCAGTGGTGATATAGGTAATTATTTCAACTTTCAATCAATGTTTACATTGTGAAGACAATTAAATTGAAAATACATTATTATTTTTTCGTTATTTTCCGCTTCAAAATTAATGTACTTGATATTTGTATTGTATGTTTCAGATGTTTCCACCGAGTGGTTGTCAAACTCGAGTTTTCAAACACAAATTCCAATTAAAACAGAACCTCCTGACCTATACTCTTCATCAGACGAATCTTTACACGAATCTTTGCTTGATACAGAAAAGCAAGTACCATCTGAACCAATTTTTCGAGATACAAAAGTACATGTAAAACAGAAAATCGATAAAAGCCAAAGAACGGATAGGAAAAGACGTACGCACGACAGTAAACGATATAAACCAGATTATGAGCTGGATGTTGAGAATGTATACTTTGAAGATAGGCATAGAGATAAAGGGAACAATAACATAAATACATATTGCCCCAGGGCGAGGCCATATTATGATATTAGTGAAAAATCTCTCGGTTATGTTAAGAACAAACAACCAAAGAAAGACATGTTTCGTAGGTATTATGTTAAAAATATTGACTCTGTAGAAACAGAGAAGAAAAAAGATACAGTTATCAAGAAGACGAATGAGAAGGAGGCTTCAATGAAGCAAGATGATGAAGCAAACAAAAGTATATCTTCTTGGTGTAAGAACTTGGAAGAAGAGCAAAAATGTAAAACTCGAGAATTTAACGAACAACTAACAGAAAACCCACATAATGTTGAACTTTGGCTGAAATATATTTACTTTCAGGTATTTAATGAAATATTTCTTGTACATTTTGGTTACAAATAGCATTGTTATGTTTTAATGTATGTGATACAAAGTTAAACTATATAACAATATTTTAATATACTTGTTACAGGATACTCTGGCTTATTATCAAAGACACCAATTAGCTAAAGATATGCATCGATCTACAGTATTGAAAAAGTCATCTATTGTCGAAAAAGCGCTTGAGAAAAATACAGATTCCAAGGAATTGTTAAAATTAAAGCTACATTTTATGACAGAGTTGACACCGTCTGATGAATTATCAAATCAATTGGAGATATTAGTTAATAAAGATTCAGGGAATATTATGCTGTGGCAACACTTTATCATGGTCACACAAGGTTCAGTAGCAATGTGTACTGTACCCCGAGTATTGGATTTATATTCAAAATGCTTCTATGTTTTGAGACAGCGCTCAAGAACAAATCCTTCCATTTATGATGCACAGTTGCTGCGTAAGTAGACGTTTGTCGAACACTTTAATTTTATTATACATATATTTCTTTCATGTATCTTATTAATTCGATACATTATATTTTGTCTAGATATGCTGTATCGATGCTTGATTTTCCTGAGACAGACGGGATTATGGGAACAAATGTGGGAAACAATACGTTTAAATCTAAATTTGAATCTAAACTTAAACAAAAATAGTTTATCTTTTCGAGGATCTATAGATGAAAAAAAATTAAGTATGTTAAATATTGTAAGTTACAATAAAAGACTTCTGTTAAGATTATTCTATACAGATTATATTCAAATTGCAGGAAATATTTCAAGTTATTTACTTATGCCAAATCGTTGACATTATGTAATAACTTAATGATAATTATTGAGAAGGTAAATGTGAAAAATGCCTACATACATTACATAAACAATAAGTATAAAATATATAATTAATTTTCCAAAAAGAACTTAATGGGAGTCTTGCAATGTTAAGATATATGAAATATATGCTCTTAATAGTACTGAATAATAATACTAATTTTCAGTTGGAATGGAAGAAATGATATTAATGTCACGATTACCATTAAATCAACTATGGCAAAGAACTGAGTCATTGAGAGAGAATTGCCATTGGATTAGCGTTAGTAGGGACGAGTTAGAATTAGTTGGAGATTCTAGAAGATTTATTTTACCAGAAGATGTAGCAGATTTTGTACATCCAATTCTTTCTCGTAATTCAAACTTTCAAATGGCTATTTATTCTCTTTTATGTCTGAAAGTACCACTTTTACCTTGTCGTGATTGCTATATGAAAGTAAGTAAAAAAAAATTATCTTATTTATTAAATGAGATTACAGAGAAGTAGGAATAAATCATTTAAAAAATACTTTATATTTTTTACAGGAATTATTATTGACAAACTTTCATTGGGGAGTAGAATCTTTAGAAGTATTGCTTCCATTTATGTATCCTATGGTAGGTGAAATGGCTGGTCATGATCAAAGGAAAGAATTATTGAAGGAAGTTCTCGAAGGACGTTTAACGTCAGGTCCTCAATATCTCAAGTTTCATCCAGCACAGGAACCATATTTAGATTTTGTACGCAAAATATTTCATACGGTCGCGGAAAATCTACCTTTGTTACAACGGACAAGTATATATATCTGGTGGTTGCGATTAGAAAGATTACTGGTATCTCTCGGCAAAGATGAACCTTTAAAACATGACAATAAGTAAGATTCATATTTACCTAAATTTTAATAGTTTTAATTTCGCATGCAACATGAACCAATTTTTTTTTGTTGCAGAGGAAAAAAATTGAGGGCAACATTGAAAGAATTTTTAAAAAAGGACGAAAACAGAAATAACTTGTATTTCTATAAAGAATATGCTTTAATAGAACTAGAAATGGGCAGATTCAGCAACTGTATGAACATTCTTGAAACCGCTATTCAATCTCAAGGGACATGCCCGTCTGCGATTACCAATACGTGTGAAAGAGCAGCGCTTTTTAATGTATACAGGACATTCATCGAAACCTTGCTTGATATTAGGACGTACAACGAATCACACAGATCCTGGATATTAAAAGTCTTTGGTCAAATGATACCTAACAAAAACGAAAATCAAGAATCTTTGATTGAAGCATATTTACATTCGTGTGTACAAAATTTTCTGCAAGTCCCTCTCAATGAACAAGAAAAAGATATTTTATTCCTGTCAAACTTAGAATGTGATGCTATCGTATGTTACGCGTACTTTCTATACATTAAAGATGGCGATATCCAAACTGTTATCAACACATTGAGGAACTGTATTGATCATTCCAAAGATTATCCTTACTTACAGGTACTAATTTAATATTCTGCGAATGATTAAATATTATTAATAAATAAATTTAAATTAAACAATTATATATATAAAAAATTTTTTTATCATTGCAGGAAATGTTGTATGAAAGTCAAATTGCAATTCTGCAATTACATTACGAGCGGACTCAGAGTATGCAGCTTGTGTTAAAAGAAACCCTAAGCAAAACTTTAAATACATATCCAAATAACTTTTATGCTTTATCTGTATTCGCTGGAATAGAGGTAAAAAGCATTATATTACATTAATACTATGTAATGAAATTGTAACAACTGCTATAAGACGTTTCTAAATCGATAACAGAATTACAAAATAATTATCATTTCAGAGTGAATTACCAACTTGGAGATTCAATAGTAGGAGCACTGAGATTGAATTGTGGCGAGCCATGGCAATGTGTCTGGCTGCTCGTAGACGTATTAGTCTCCTAATGAAACTCGATCATCATGATGCAATGAATGCCGCACTGAATAAGTTATTATCTTTTCATTTAACACTCTCCAGGTATAATATAATTAAATTCTTGTAAGATGAACTTAAATGCATAAATATTATGATGTATAAAATACACAAAATTATTTTCAGGATACCGTCGACACGATGTTGCCCATTGCTGTGGAGACTGTATATGCTCCTTCTGCGCGAGCATAATTTATGCGAGAAAAAAGGAGAAGAGATTTATCATGAAAGCGTCACTCAATGTCCATGGGCAAGAAGTATTTACATAGATGCAGCTGAAGTAGCGCCTCAACTTCTCACACAAATTCAAGATCTGATTCGCGAGAAAGAATTAAGAATGCACGTCACACCCGAGGAATTAGATATTCTTCGTGGATAATGTAATTTTTTTATATATTAAGAAAAACTGTAATGTTCTTGATGTTATCTATATTAACTGTAATATTCTTGATATTATTAACGTCTCCTTAATTTAAATTTTATTTTTTAATGTGATAAATTATAAGAGTGTATTTAAATGTAAATTTATATATATAGCATGTAAATTAAAAACACCTGAAAATAAAAAGTAAATAAGCCTTTTTTGCAACGTGTAAAATAAGATATGTAATAAAATATAAAGTAATTTGATATTCAGTCTCATATTCAAAATTAATTATTTTTAATATATATTACATACACTTACACACATATATTAATCCTAGTAGCAGGGTGTCTAGCGCTCCTTGAAATCCTTGAATCCTGGAATTATACTGGAATTTAATATACTCTGGAAAATTCCTGGAAAACCCCTGGAATTTCAGGACTGACCTGGAAATTTTTATTCTTTCATTCTAAAAAAAATTAGGTCGCGAAAAAAGAAAGAAATAAGAATATTTTCCGCTCATGCGCACGAACGATATCGGTAACGTCGGTAATGTTGCAAGTACGCTAATCGTGTGTATCGTATGTGCTCGAGAATTGGTGCGGTACAGAGCATATAACGTTGTGCAAATTGATATTGCTTCCGTGACGGAAGAAGCGTAGTTTCTTGCAATTTCTACCTAACCTCTCAATTAATTTCAGCAGTTTCGCTGTATGCTCCCCATATTTACGTATAATAATCGTACAAATTCTTGTAAGTACATAGTAATGCTAACTTAATAAAAAGAAAAATCGTTTATGTTTATAAAATATTCATTTGATATTATTTATGAAGCAATAAATAATTTTGTTCTGAATTTGTTAGCATTTTAATTCATTCGTCATATAGAATCCTAACATGATATTCCTAACTTGATAGTACAGAGCATATAACGTTGTGCAAATTGATGAAAATTAATCAAATGATAGAAATTAATCGATGGATATATCCTGGAAAAACTAGGATTCTTTACCTGGAATGTCCTGGAATTATCCTTGAATGGATTAGTCAGATGTCGCTAGACACCCTGAGTAGGCCACTGTCATTTTTAGTTACCTTCCCGGCCTCACCAGGGTATGTGAACCCTGCAACTTTGTCACGCTATATCTCTGGACTGAATACATATTTTTTAGTTCAAAACGTGTGAAATTTATATCTCGAATGAATAGATTTACTTACTGCACTCCATGGCTTGAATTTGGATCGTCTTCCTGTTAGGATTATGAACTGCAAAATGCTGAGGATGGCTTGAACATAGCCGAAACGTTCATGTAATAGATAATTTTTTAATTATATGTATATAATTACCGCACGAATTACTGCGTTTTTTAGGCTCTTAATTGCCCGTTATTTAGTTTTGTGTATTTTAATTAATTATCTCAAGAGCCCAATTGATTGATTTATTGGTTTATATCTCGAAATCAGACGAAGAGAGAGAGAGACAGATAAATATGAATCAAATAAATAATATTTTATTTTCAATTAATTACAATGCTTCAAAGAAATTTTATTGGAAAAATTCGCAAAAAATGACTATTTTGGACAAAAAATTCTCAAATTTTTTAATTTAATATTCAAGCCAAAACTAGTACAATTTTTTTAGTTGACCCTTTGAACTAACAAAAAAAATAGTACGATATGAATCGCTCAAAAAAATATAATTATTTAAACTATCAAAAATCGACATTTTTGAAAAATCTTATTTAAACAATATAAAATGGTAGATAAAGTATTGTACATGTATAAATATTATTATAGTTATGCACAATTAAGTTTATTACGATTTAGTTTAGAGAATGATGCAATACTCGCTCTAAAGCAATAAATCCGCTCCGACCGAGCGATCGATCCGAAGACAGAATTATAAAATTTCTACTATTTATTATTGTGAAATATAATTCTTTTTAGTTCTACATATTTTCATGTACTTACTTTTATACTATCTGAAACTCAGTAAATATATATTTAATAAAAAATAAAGGAGTACCCAGAATATGCGCCGCCAAAAACTTACAATTAGTTATAGCGTTTTTCACTGCGGCAGAACCGGCACGCACTCAGTGCACTCATGGGTTCAACGTATCCTGTGATTTTGTTACATCACTGTAACTTTTTTATAATATAATTTGAAGACCCGGATTGAAGCTGAAGAAAAACTTTAACTGCCCATAGATATGATAAGCCTGCAAGGGTTTTTTTTGCGTTATTCTCGATGTGAAAATGCACAAAAGTTCAAAGAGGGTACTTGGGACCCATACATGACTAATAGCGTTTTTAACTGGTAGCAGGTAGAACTGATGCGCACTCAATGCACTTTACAGCCGTTGTACACAAATCGACATAAAAATGTACGTTTAATAAAAATATAGAAATGAATTAAACCACGAAATCCTTAATACATTTTATTGTAATATTTGATAAAGTATACATTGGGTATTTTATTAACTGAGATCTCTCACTTTTACAGTCAGATTAGGTTAATGTACAACAGCTTTAATGTGCACGAGTCAGTGATGTGACACAAAAAATTGTAACAGTATTTTTCAGAACAAATTATAAACAGACTTGAAAAATAAAAGATCGTATTATCTTAAATCAAGTGTATTGTTTTCTTATTGAGACAGTCAAAAATAACAATTTATAAATTGTGTATGTTTTTAATAATATAACTAACCTCAAATTGATAGTATATTGATAGCTAATTGATTGTATGTATGTGGATTAAATGTCATTACATAAATTTTAATAACGATAAATAGAAAAAAAATCTTTCAAATTACATTAAATATACAACAAATATATGAATTGAAAGATAAATACTTCTTATAATATCTTTAAGTTCTTTTATCATACTTGTGTATTAATGTATATATTTTTTTATTTGCAGTGTATGAAAATTTGATTATAAACATCACATTTTCTAAAAAATGGATTTAAAAGCTGTAGTTGTTTCTGGAGAAGCTCCAGAGTCTGACGATGATGCATCAAACATTGTCACTGTATGTAATATATATCTATACATATATTATATTTTATACTATGTTTTTAATTTAATACAGTTAACATGAAAAGTGTATTGTCTACAAATTTTATTACATGCAGGGCCTAGGATTCCCTACAATGAGAACACCATCCACATACTGCGGTACTATTATCTCAGGCGAAGCTCCAGAATCTGATGATGGTAAATTTTGTTTAATATATTTTTTAAATGTATAAGGAACTAATTAACATTTAATTTTTATTCACAGATTTAACAAGTTTAAGTAGTATTAGCGGAGCGGTAGATGCCATGGCATGTCCTCCTTACACAGATCTTAAAATACCAAGATCTAAAAAAAGTTCCATCAAGTATAATAGTTTACTTCATAAAAAGTTATGTAAGTGATTAAATATATCTTAAGATATTTATAATCATATTTCCTAATTAATTACATATTTATTTTTCTATTCATCAAAATATCAAGTATTGCAAGCTTGTCGAATAAAATGTTTACAAAACACGAATTTTATTTTTGTTAACATTCGTTTATTAATATTACAGCAGTACAATGTGCGTAACTATAGCTAAACAGTATTATGAGATTGTTCATGTGTGGAATATCGATAACTTATTTTCCAATGATTCGTATTTCTAAATCAATTTCGATTTACTACACAGTTACATTCGCATAATTACAATGTTTATCTATAAGTTATACTGTACAAAGAATTTTCTTATAAGTTCTTATAAAACAGCATTTATGAAAGACATTAAATTATATTTTATAACATAAAATCGATATATGTATATACGTATCGCTTATTAATTTTGAACATCATTTAAATTGACATATGTTAAACAGACGAATGCAATGAAACCTTGGATAGAGACATTCTGCAAATGACCGAGGGCGCAATCACAACCAGTGTACAAGAATTGTCAGCTGTTAATCGACAATTGCTGAGAAGTGAATTGGTGTTACAAGAGGCTGTGTGTCAATTACGCAATGCATCCGGTCGGATGAAGGATGCCTCCGACGCTCTACATCAACTCATAGACGACAACTTCTTGCATTCCGTTAAAATTTAACTTTTATTAAACTTATTAAGTGCATTTCTATTCTTAAGATATACATGTAGCAATGAGTAACAGGTATGTGCTTACAAGGGACGTCACACAACTGTCCTGTACCGATTTGATTTTCTGTGAAATATGTCGTTAAATGCAAAAATCTAAAAGACACGTATTTTTTTCGTTCCTTAGATTTTTGTGTTTAGCAACATATTTCACGGAGAATCAAATCGGTACCGGACAGTTGTGTGACGTCCCTTATTAGTATATAATGTCATGGTACCGTGCATTAGATGCCGGTGTTAAAAAAAAAATGCGCTTTCCTCTTTGAGATCTGGGACATTGTTGAGCATTAATCGATCTTCCCTTTAACTGGCAGTACTATTTAATGCGTCCTTTTTATACTTTCCAACGCGTTGTCTCGTTTGTCTCGAGAATAGTATCAATCACATCAATTTATTATAAACTAATATCCTAAGATCGATCTGTGGAACAAAACGTATTACGCCTGATATTTAACGATACATTTGATCATACAGTGAGATAGCAAATAGTTCGATACTGGCTATTGTCTTGCCTACCATTTCGTAAATTTCAATCGGAGTGGTGGCACAAATTCTAATACAAATATGTATAATGCGATTATAGTGCGCAAGAGGCTGGTGATAATTATATATATTACGATATATGTGTATATATATATATATATATATATATATATATATTAAAGAACGTCACGATATTGATATAGAGCATTTCTGCGGAGAGTAGACATACACTTTCGTTACAGTTTTAAAAAATTTATAGTAAATGTATATAATATATTTTGATTTTGTGATTTTCAAAGAATACATGAATGTAAATCTGGCATCGCTCGTTTGGATTATTGATTATGTCATAAAATTAGAATAATATTTAGTATCTAGAGTGTATGTATAGTCTTGTCAGAAACACTTATGTTCTTTCTTTGCTGCAGATTACCACGTGTTTTTTCTTTTCTTTTTTATCAAATAGCACAATTTTGCTTGGTATCAAAGGGTTGATATCGACTTTTTTTTGTCGCTATTATGTCGCTAATGTTAGTGTACAATGAATTGGTGATATCAATGGTGGTGGTTTTCGTTTTCTCTATAAATTCAGTCTTAAATATTCCATCGATCTTCGTTGAACCAAATTTCGGTATGACATATCTAAGTACAAAAATCCCATAAACAAAACCCGTTTCGCTAAGACTTGATATGGCAATATCGCGACGGGAATATCCACTCTGAAATGTGTTACTTACGCGCGGCTTGGCTTTCTTTCTTATGTATTATTCAAATTAACAACTAAATTGCGCGTGTATATTTCTGCCGGTACAGCAAGGCAATCTCTCTTGGATGTTATATTAAAGCAATTCCGTACGCTCACTAAGGATGGAAAGTATTGCCAAAGCATAGTTGTGCCACTGAATCTTGTATGTATATAGATTAAAAAAATTCTACAAAAAACTTAGAGCTACTATTTCCTCTAAGATGCGAAACCTATTACTATTATCATTTATTATTATTATTATTATTATTATTGATGTTACGGTAGTAAATTGTTGGGCGAACGTAAACTACTTGTGTTTCGTGTCTCTGTACAATGTCTTTGTCTCTGCGTTTCTTTGTGTTTTTCGCGTATACGAGAGATAACATAAGATTCTCCTCACTGACACAGCTGCGTTCAGCTTGAGCGACTAACGCTTGTCTGTTCTCAGTTATTCTCAGTTCTCAGTTTGTGTAAATAGCGATGGGCTCAATTCCAGAATAGGATCAGAGTTTGTTGTAGTTGGCGACCTTTATAGAATATGCGACGCCGCACTCTATACATATTTGCTAATGTGAGGGCGCCCACCCCCCACATGGCCTACGCTCGCTCCATCTCACCACCGCTCGCGTACATCTGGAGGAGAGCCATGGATTCCTGCGCTTGCCGTTTTTCCACTAAAAATCTACCTGAAGCTTCCTTCAGCTGCTCGAGGAAGAGTCTGTAACAAGATTGGAACAGAAAAATTAATGATGCTGTCCTAAGACAATCACTTGATCAAATATCATAAGGTATCAATAGCAATGTCTTGATGATAATATAGAAAGTATATTATCTTAAATAACAGAAGTGACTTCAAGCTCTAATTAACTTGATTAGCTATTAATTAACAAGTAGTACTTTATTAAGATGAGTAAAATCATCAATAATTTTCAATTTTAATGATTAATGATTCTTCATTTATTATTTTTTATTTTTTGTTGACACATTTGAAGAATTGTATAGTTAGAAAGCTGATCGAATTAATTATACATATTAAGCTGATCATATTAATCGAGTGATCAAAGTCACTCTGATTGTCCATTGCTTACCTGTCAGGCACTATGTCGCCTAAACTGTCAGGATCCATATCACTGAGTGTTTCCAACTCGGTTCCTCCTAGGAGCGAGATATGCGACGGGTCGCTGTGCAACGATGAGACCAGTGGTTCAATGAGCGTTCGCCGTCGTCGAATCTTGTCGACTTTTGAACCACCTTCGGCGTTATCCACATTATCCACAACGATGCAACGAGACGCTGTCTTGCTGCTGCCTACAGCGGCCCATTTTTGATCACCATGCAACACCATCAAGCTTGTGTTTCTTTCTAACGTGGCAAAATATTCTTCGTCGTCTACCTCTGTTCCTGTAACATTTATCAGCATGTAAAAGTGAAAAAGACTTCATACCTCATATAAACAATTATAGTGACTGATTCTTACAACACGTGTTCTGCAACAAATTATTGTATACATCTAATATCGAAGAGATATTAGAACTAACAATTGTTGTATGTTGCAACATGAATGTTTCCTTACCATCCTGTTCAAGCACGATCGTCAGATCCGCGTCCACGGGGAATGCCAGTCGATTGCGTGCGACGTTAGTCAGCTCCTTCAACGATGAAGCGGTGATGCCCTTTCTTCGCTCCCTGGTGTGATCAACTATCTTGTAAGGATTGCCCACCCCTTGCATGACTCCGGTTGTTTCCGACATATTTCTTCTGCACAATCGGTGAACGAGAACAGATTTTAACTCTTCTAATCGTTAACGATTAATTCTGTTCGGTTTCAGTTCGGTATTAGAATATTAGGAATCCCCGACGCCCAACGATAATTAAGCAACAATTGTCTCTAAGTCAGAAAGGATTTATTCTCTTGAAGAGAACTGACTGCTGCTAAGGCCTGATTCTCGTTGCACATTAGTTGGTCCGTGTCTCGACGATGTGTCGGGGAAATTCGAGTGACCCGTGCGTCCGACGATGACAGAGGAAGGAATACGCCCTTACGCGTGAAAAATGTAACGAACACAATTACGATGAACACGATGTGTACAAGCGCTGTTTCTTATTTTTTCAGCGTCGAAGAATAGCTCTCTTGACGATTATGCACCAGGTTGCAGTCGTATCACTGTCCAACGATTCCCCGGATAAAAAATTGTATCGCTCGAAAGAAGCAAACAGGTATGAAAGGGCAGTGCTCAGGATTGCGTTGGATTGACTTGGAGAATCAACGAGAATTTGAGCGAGACCTCTCCTTTTTCTCTCCTTCAACAATTCACGCGGTTAAAAAAAATGGATAGAAGGTGGAGACAATGACGATTGTGCGACGCGACAAAGACAGAAAGGAAGAGAGTGATGTGTATATGATGCCTTGAGTGACTGAACTGACCGTGTGTCAACCCAACACTGGGTCAACGGTGCAACTACCCCTTCTATTTATACCCCCTGTAGACTCTCTCGCAGGTATATACGCGCGAAACGAGAGACACCCCGACACAGCATCTACCCCACCCACTTCTGCCTATCCATCCAACCCTCTGCCGTAGCACCCCTACACGGAAATCAATAACCTACCCCACTCTAGTCGCAGCCGCGCTCATTTTTTATCAGCGCCGATGAGAAATTTACAAAAATACTCCAGCACAACCGTCACCAAAGAGGGCCGATGCAAAATGCACAGATTGATGAGATAATTCACGACACGTGTCAATCGATCCACTTCTTTGAAAACTGAAGGAGATTGAAAATAAAAACGAATAAAAATAATTTTGCGAATCTGCGATATCCAGACATATTGTTCAGATAAATATATACGATATCGGAACGGATATTAGCAATTTTATTTAAAGAATAAACAGATAGATATAAAACTTCTCACTATTTTGCACTACTTGGAAATGTTTTAATATAAAACCTGCACGTGTCACGAAAAAAAACAGATAATAATTTAAGATACAATAGAAAATTTTATGTACTTTTTATTATTTTAATAATGAGAATTACGGTATACATATACAGAATATTTAAACACAAAATTCATTACAATGATAAAATTAAATTTTATATATACATTGCATATGTTCTATATTTTTAAATCATTAATCTAAATTAATTTAATTATTATATACAAATTCTTTATTTAAATTTTGTTATTGTAATATATATTCTTGTATTATTTAATGTAATGTTACAAAGAAATGCAGAATTTAATATTAATCATTAATTATTAATCTATAAATTCGATTAATAGATTCTCAAATATTTCAATCCGCTAGGAGTTTTAAATTTAAGACACAGCACTGTAGTTATATTTAGATGTCAATGAGACTAGATACTGTTTTAAGTTTAAAGTTAGCTCAGGCATAGCCCAGTTAGGGTTCCTCGGTGAGCAACATCAATTTATTCGAATGGAGTCAATCACGTTTTGTTAAAATTTTGATAGAAAATCTGAATCAAGAATGCCGTCGAATGGAAGTAAAGAGGCCGACGACAGTCAGACATGGGAATTAGCAGAGAGGTGTCTATTACCTATTGCATTTTCACATGCAATTGCAGTCATCCTGGCAACTATATTAAACACCTTTGGGATCTCACAGACATCTAGCTTTGTACTCTTTTTGTTGCTATTGGTCATATCCGTAGGATCCACATTGTTCTATCATAATTTGAAGGTAAGCTATTTGCATTGTGTAACGCAAATCTTCAATACATCACTCATTTTTTCCCCCAATAATTTCATATAAAACTTTTTACTACAACTACATAAAAACTGTAAACCTTTCTGACCTTCAAAATTACATTAAAATACATATCGCACTCCTATAATGAAAATCATATGTCCTTCTCAACCTTTTATAATGTCATATGCTTGTGAACATTTGAAAGTTCAAAGGCCCTCTATATCGGAATTCTCGTAGAATTTTACACTAGGCCTGATTAAGACCTTTGACCTTTTTTAACAAACGTTGCATAATGCACCTGTTATCATTACCTACTACCATACTTCCTGCTTCATACGTTCTCTTTTTTTTTTTTTTACAAAGGACTTTGAGATCGTCATCGCCCGATCAATGGCTTTCAATGGATTATCAAAAGCATTATAAAGCTTCATTACATCAGCTCATGATTCAATAAATTATAAACACTATGTTTTCCTAATAGTCTACTTGATGCAACAGGTTACTGCAGCAGGAAAGGCAGTATTAATCACAGGTTGCGATTCGCGGGTTGGATACGCTTTAGTTAAACAGCTAGATGATTTGGTAATTATACATGAAAACATATGCTCGTATGACCAATTGAATAATTTAAAGACGACATCTGTGATCTCACTCTTTTTAAGGGCTTCACCGTATTTGCTGGATTCAGTAATA